ACACAAATTTTGACAGATTATTGTTTGCTTTTAGGCAGTTTTGTTTCTTTGCAGAGAAAACTGATTTCATAGTGGAATAAAAACTGTTAATTGTTAGTTTCACTCGCATCGATAGAATGGACTTGGCTATTCAGTTTTGATCAAATTTAATTTTTCTGATTATATTCCAACATGGACGTACTAGAAGATGGACGCTGCCACGGTGTTTACTCGCTTTGATGTATGTGCGTTGCCGCCACCAGATTACTGTTAATCCAGATCGTGTCTGCATAATTTCCTGTCCACGGGAAACGATCACGAACACGCCCGATTATAGCTCAGTTCATCTTTGTTTTGTCTCGAACGCCCCCGACGATCTGTTTACGATCGTCAAGCGAAAACAAAATGGCGACGAACAGGCAACAGAGAAAGTTTGGTTTCGGTTCGGATTTTGTAGATCCCGACATTTTAGAACTAGACGATAATGATTTTGATATTGAAGACATTGAAACTGTCGACTCAGCCGTCCCTGAAGAGGACGAACAGCAGTATTGTTTCTCGAGAGAGCCCACCATGAACGTGAAAGCTAATGTTAAAGAAGTCCATTTTTAACATCGAATTACAGCGGCCGAACTTTTCCGAACATTTTGAGCTTTGTGCCATCTGGAAATTTCACTCGAATTGAACATCGGATAAAAAAAATCGTCATCCGCTCACATCGGGTTTACAGGCAATATTAAATTAAAATTGTTAACAAATGCAGAAGATCGGTACAAACATGCTCGTAAACTTGCCTAGAATGTACGGATCTGCGTTAAACCTTTGATTTACAACTTAACATTGCACCAGCTCATGGGCAAGGTCTGTATTTTGTTGACCCTGTAGAACATAAAATTTAAGATTCAAATCTTGTCCTGAAAAATCCAAACTAAGATCGGGCGGCAAGATGAAAGTACGCCTGCCTTTTCATAAATTTAAGATGAGTACAATAGAAAGACAATGCGTCTTAACATGTGTGAATCACCGTGCAGCGTCCATCTCTAGTACGTCCATGATTCCAACCACAAAATTGTCTCATTTTGTGTAGCTACACCCTAGCAGCCATGTTTGGCTTATGAAACGGGAGAAGATGTAACAGTGGTGTTGACATAGATTTATTATCAGTTTCTCTTAGGTGTTAGTTATAATCCTCTACCAAATTAAGGTTACTTGAAAGGGGTACCCACAGTAGCATGTCCCTGTTCTCTAAGGTCTATGATTTAAGTACCGTTATATTTTTTGTCCAAGTTGAGTCAGAGTACCCATAATCAATTTGGCTGACCCAGAAACGCCCAGGACTTTTACTGACTGCATATTACCCTTCATTATGATTTGCTTAAGTCTCGCCCATTTTCCCCCTGGATCTTCAATAGTAGTGTTCATGCTCACAAAGTACGAGCTAAGATTTAAGCTAATCTCATATGTTTGAGTTCATGCACGGAAGGAAACAATAGTTAGCACGGGGTAAAGAACGCCCAAACTTATTAAGAATAGGCAAAATATTCAGGAATTTTAACTATGATTGCTCAGTTAGAGTAACTAAGAAGGTTAGTTCTACAGTTATAAAACAATACCAAAGCAAATTCAGAAAGTGCAAATTGCAGAATAACAGGAAGTAGCAGAGTCTCAGCAGTTCATTTAAATCTTTTTTCTTGAGTCAATCTTTCTATATGTGTTAACCTTGATTGTCATGCAGGAAATGGCACACCGAAATAAAAAGTTATGAATATAGTACTAAATCTCCTAAATGAGCATTGAATACAATGTTTTTTTAGCCGAGCAATGCGTTCATGCATGTTTTGTTTTGTCTGTGCTAAGGCTCTGTACTGACCAGATTTACTCTGTACTTAGTATTTCTTAGCCTGTGTTCATGCACATTTTCTTAGCATGGGCTAAGGTATTGGACCTCTTAGCCTTTGCTAAAGAGCTCTGCGTGAATGCTACTAATAAGTGTCTTCTGTTTATTCCTTTCTTAGGCGCACACATTAAGGTTGACTTCCCTTAGATTTCCCAATGTACAGTACACTATTGCTGGTATTGTTTGAAGAGAAAAAAAAACAATACACATATTTTTCGAAAATTTAAAAAAAAAAACATTTTGCAGTCAGTTGAATTATTAATAATTTGAAAACATTGCCATTAATGGGAACAAATTTACGTTGATGTTTTTTTTTTCAGATTTCAGGAGTTGGAAATAACCTTTGTTTATACTTTTCTTGTAATAACAAACATAGGAGCCAATTCTCATTAACACCTACTTGAGCTTGCTGTTTGACAATTATGAATAATAATGAAACAGTACTTACACAGTGTGCCATGACTGAACAAAAACTTGCGCATTTATTTTTTTCCAAAAAATAGGTATGATAGTACATAGAGCAAATGCCACAGTGTTTTTTAATTTATATAATTTTTGAAAAACAAAAACGAAAGCCCCAAAAGACTACATTAACAACAACAAAAGTATCTAATATTGTATTGAAGTCATTGTAAAATGGTAAAATAATTACAAATTCATACCTTGATGTGCCAGTTGCAGTACTGCAATCGTCCTATGATTCAACATCATCTAAATACTCCGCAGGTTATGTAGTCTACCAGCAGTCACTGGCATCAGCATTACTATGAAATTTCACTGGGGATCGAGACAATATTCGCGAAATTTCATTTAAGTGTACTTGCAAGCGCCAGTGAAACTTGGAAAAATAAATTCCCACACGTATATTGACTCACACGAGATAGCAGGCTTTTTTCTGGGCCATTATATTAGTGACATGAACAAAAATACTGGTCATTTTATGTATGTAATGAAAAATAATATGACCAATAAACTGCCCATCAAAAAAAAAAAATTCATCAACTCCATCATTTAAAAAGCAATTGTAATTATTCTGACCAGTATAAAAAACATGGGTCATTAAAACCACCATTTTAAAAACACTGGTAAATATTTTAACCACTTAAAAAATTCTGGTCAATATTTTGGCCATTAAGAAAATAGTGGCCATTATAATAGCCAGGAGTGACTTTTTAAAGGGGTCTGAAGGGTGTAAAAAACAGTGTTAAAGTGAAATGAAAAATTATTATAACCTCCTCACTAACCTAAAAGCACAAATAAATATTCAAAAGTTTTAAAAATTAAACCTTTCCGAAACGCAACGGAATTTCCGAAAGTAATCCGGACGCTGTTATTAGTAAATCTAGGCAAGTTTATTTTCTTTTCAATGCAGAAACGCCGAAAACTTATGGAATGACTAGGAGATTTATTTATTTATTTTCAAGAATATTTAATATTGTACATGTAAGGCCCATGGCCTATAGTACTGAATAAAGATATATACATGTATATACATAGGGCTAATCGTGTTACATTGTTCAGGGGAGTCTCAAAAACTTGAACCATCCCAAAGTACCGTTTTCTGTGAGTTTTTGGCTTTTGTTTTCACCGCGAGGGTTGCCAGGGTTGCGGTGAAAATGCCCGGATGTCCGCCCCGAGGATACTGGCACTCCAGTATAACAGTAAAATAATAGTTTGCTATACTAGTATTTAATTTATGAACACGGAGTAACACATGTTTTGTATTGTCATCTATTGTATTGGTTTGAATGATAATACATATTATATTGTATTGAGGGGAATAAAGCGAAAATAATGGAGGGCCTTTTTGGTCATTAGTGAGTGCTTATCATTTTACACTATATTATATAAGAGAATGAACACTTTCTCGTACGTACGGTACGTACCAAAGTTATTTCTTCAATCCAAACGCTTTAAATTTTAGTCCATACATGGGTGCTAATTGGTTGGTACTATTCAATATGTTAATCGGCTCATCAGCTAAAAATCGTGTGTCAAATTACCCGAAATCACAATACTATAAAATACTTTATTTTAGCTATAATTGATATTCGCTGAAAAGACTTTTGGGGTGTTTTGTATGGAATTTATTTTCACTGATTTTTGACGAGTGGAATGTAAAATATAGGAATCATTCCTTCAGCAAAAATTAATTCCAAGCGAAAATAAAATATTCTACAGTATACATGAAAATAAAGGGCAATAGTTATCGCCAGGGGCGCTAACCAATCGGCTTTATATCAGAAAATGTTTCCTTGAGCATTTGTACGAAATTTCATGTTGAGGTCTGGACGGAATAGAGGGCGCTAATGATCGCTAATCCTCAAGGGCGGACATCCGGGTATTTTCACCGCCTGGCAACCAGCGGCGGTGAAAACAAAGGCCCAAAACACGCAGAAAACGGTACTTTGGGATGATTGTTGAGACTCCTCTGAACAGTGTAACAAGATTAGCCCTACGTGTGTAACATATATAAATTTGGTTGTTCGGGATTACTTCAAAGTTGAGTTTGTGTTGTTTTCTCGAATTTTCACCGGCTCGACCGGCGTTCCACAGCAGCGCGCACAAAGCCCATAGAAATACGTGGTACAGTGGTGCGCGTCTTAGCAACGTGGAACGTCTGTGACGTAGCTCCGCCCCCGAGGATTGGTTTACATTATATCAGAAAATGATTTTCCTTCCGACTAGAACAAGTGCACCAAGTTTCATGTTTCTATCCAAAGCACAGTTACTAGAATTACACTGTGACCGTGCTCAAAGTGCACAATGTTTCCTCTTTTGTACTTCTTTTGTGCTTATCGCTCAATTGATATAGCGCCATCTATAGTTCAGTATTGGTAATTGCACGTACACGGCGTAATTTCCAACTTTCTTAGTTCTTAGAATTCGTTCATATGCTTGTAACGTGAATAACGAAATTGAAACCAGGGATTATTTCTGTCAGACTGTGTATGTATGTATGTTTATACGGAGACCATAAACACCGTGCGAGAACACGTAATTGTAGCTTGTGATTTTATCGAGTAAGTTAGAGGGCACTGGTGTTATTGCGGAAGTCCCCAGGTCGAGCTTCAGGAAAGGAAAAAACGCGAACGACCATAAACAAAATCTTTTTTTGATGGAAATCAAAATGATCACAACGCTACTTTGATGGTCACGTAAGTTCATTATGTCTTTGATGACGAACGACAATCGATGGACCGTTGTATTTTGGTTGTTTTTGTGTCTCATCGCTTTAAATATCCACGGACCATCTGCGAAAATTCTGCAACTTTCCAACGATCGTTTGAAGATCTTAGCAGCCGACAACGGAGAAATTAAGGCAAATTTTAGTACCCAGTATGACGGACTCGTTAATAGCGGAAACCAAGATGTGTATAAATTCAGGGTTGACAACACGAAGAATGAGGTAAGTAGTGATTAATTAACGTATTTATTATTGTGTTGTGTCGACGAGTTTGGCGTAGTAAAATTATATGAAAGATATGCTCTACCGATCTGAAGTGGTCGCAACACGCAAGCTTTGCTCGGACGTGTGTTTAGGATCCATGTAACCATATCGTTACTCACAACTCAATATACTAGTACTTCTATTCTGTTACAACACTTTGATGTACGTGTGTTGAATACACAATGCCTCACGTGATATGTCAGGTGACTTGAGGGAGGTGGATGGTCTTATCACGGTTGAGATCTAACGTTTGCTTACAATCAGTGTTGCAATTTTTCGCAACATAAGCTACTTCACAGTTTTTTTTATTTCAACTACACATGTATACTTAAAGTATAGGTCAAGGTGGCAACAATTGTGGTGTGTATTGATTATAATAACCATTTTCAATAGCATTTTTATTTATTTATTTATTTATTTATTTATTTATTTATTTATTTATTTATTTATTTATTGCTTCCCTTTTGTAACAGGGGCTCACTATGTAAATTAGGAGCTGCACCAAATAAAAAATACATTTCACTCAAAGACTAATGAAAAAACTTTTGATAGACAAAAAGAAACTAAGTTACATGAACCTAGATAAAAAAATATAACAACAACATAAACATCTAAAAGTAGAAAGAAAAAAATATAAAGAAAAAATATGAAAACTAAAATATAAGAAGTACATTGGAAAAATATTAAATATTATCTGTATACTTCTTTCTACTGTCCATGGCATTAACTAAGAAATTTTTTGTAAAAGTATCAATTTCGTCACACAGGACTGAATTATACTGCCTAGAACGGCTTCATTTGCTGTGTATCAACATGCTCCTAGAATAAACTTTCCCACTGTACGTTGCAGTCTTTCTAATTTTTCCATATCTGTTGAACTAAATACTAGTAACTCACAGGCATACTCTAAGGCAGGTCTAAAAATGTGGTTCCACAGGGATATACCATAATCTACTCTATTTACATTGCTATGGTTACCAAGAATTGATTTCATAATGGGGAATAACTTGTTAAACTTTTCAGACATTTTTGTACATTGTGTATGATCTGACAAGTTTGTTAACTTTCTTGTTAATGATCAACACGTTTGACTTTTCCTCATTAATTGTCATCTTCCATAGTTTGCAGAAATGGTTTGTGACATTTAACATGGATTTGAGTTGGTTCTCATTTGGTGCAATAAGCACCACAAATCAGCAAAAAACAAGCCATTTATACAAATTTCTTCTAAGTTAATAGATACATTAGATGTTAATTTGTCTCATGGAAACTGTTCATGAATGTTAAAAACAACGAACAATAGCTACGAATTAACATACTAACATATAACATACTACATCCAGGCATTTCTGTGATGTTTTAGGCTCGGTTTATTTGAAGATCGACCATCATCAGTTCATTGAATACATCTGTGTTTGGTGCATGTTTTCAAAGAGCGTTGTCGTTTCTCACAATTTTTACTATGGATCACTTGGAACTTGCCTTACTACTTTGAGCCTGAATTTCTCTGCTGAGTCAGTTGACAAATATTTACGAGCAGCACAATAAAAACAAAACGTGATTTTTTTTTTCTCACATGCTCAGTGTTTAATAGTGACTCCACATACATAACATAGTGAATAATCATTTGACGAATAATGGCTGTAATTTTGAAATCCCACAAATTATACACGTAAAGAAAACAAGAAGGAGTGTTTCCTGTCATTGGTTTCTCTGCTGAGTTGAGTATCAAAATGTTTACGCGCATGACAATCAACCATAAAATCACGGAAAGTATCCTTTTCATGCTCAGTGTTTGTGATTGCAAACTGAAATAATGATTTTTACTTAACATGGTAAACAATAAATAATTGTTTGACGAATCATGACTGTAATTTTGAAATCTAGTCATGCAGCGGATGTATAGCAGGTGGCCAGTGGGGTACACTTAAACCAGTCTCTAACAGTAGACATATTTGTTATCAACCCAATGTGCACAACAAAATAAACAAGCAAAACTGACAATAATGGCGCTTTCCGGTGTCATGAAATCTCACCTATCAAGAAAACTAGTTTACTGTTGTTTCAGTATTGTTTTCTCGGCAAGGTACTTCACGGGGACAGCATCAAGTTTCAGTCGCTTTGACATATAAGTACCTAAGTTGTTTCAGAATCATCTGATTTCCTTGGTAGTCATTTTGTGTAAAATGATTTTCACACACAACATAATTATGAAAATAATTTTGGTCGCAGTCGTTTGTGCATTTGTGATGGACATTATTCTCTTGAAAGTTGCGCAATGACTTATGACTCTCTTTAAGTGAGTACTGAATAACCAAGCCTATGACGTCATACCGCTTTCATTCTCGGTTTACCCAATAAAGTACGGTACGCTTGAAAATTGCTGAAATGGCGGCGACTTTTCAAACAATTTTATGACACCAAACGCAAGGCTGAAAACTACCCGAGTCTGACAACATCTAAATGCAGAGAGTGTATTCAGTGCATGAGAACATATATATATATATATGTATATTCTTCAAAACAATGTTCCCTCGCTGAGCCAAGAAAAAATATCAGGGAAATAATATAAAAAATCTTGAAAATTATTATTTATATAATATACCGGTATATATATTCAAATCAAAGTTGAAAACGAATGATTTATAATTATATTCTCACAGCTAATACCGTAATTAGAATTCAAATAAAAAGTTTCTAAAAAATCTTAACATGTTTTTTTTTTTCTTAAAATGCATGAAAATACAAAGTGTTATTTCACCTAAGAGAGTACCTTACAATTATATTTACAGAGACAATCTTTAGTACAAAGGGTAGACATGTACATTACCCTGGGACATGTAAATGTACCTTTCTCTTACATGTTAAGAAAAATGTGAATTTGTAAAACTTAACCACTAGTGGTTAATAGTATGAAGGAATAACCAAGATTGAAATAACTAACGTGCTTAGAAATAAAATTTGCTTAAAATAAACAGTTTAATTTCCCCCAAAATATGGACAGGTGAAAACATTAAACTATATCAAGGAATTCAATAAAAGTACATTTTATCTGAAGCTACATCACCATAAGTATTGGCAAATTATTGAAGTAGAGATTGAAATTAAAAACTAAAGCTACCTGTTGATCGATATTACTGGGAAATAAACTTGCCTGTCCCAATTGACGCAACATAATATCACATTAAATGGGTATAAAGTACAGTCTAGGTGTAACTTAATGCCCAATGCCCAATCACCTAGCTTTTCTTTTCGTAATTGCTGTTTTGTCATAAATGTTTTGTAGTAATAACTTATAAGAGTAAAATTGATGCATATTACTCTTCACAATTTGGCTGTCTGGTGGTTTTGGTCTTTCACCTTTTCACCACCAGTTCCCTGTTTTCATCACAAATTCACAAAATAGTCCAGTTTATAATCTGCATGTTCCTTCAGAAGATTAGAGCAAAAATAGCCCAATTTTTGAGTAAAAACTGAAAATTTACTCATATTCTGTCTGTTGGCTCCAGAATTAGGACTCATTTCCAAATATATTTGAGAATGTAAGAAAAAAGTGCAGAAAAAGTGTGGCGGTGAAAAGGTTAAGCCAGATTTTGAAAAAACAAGCTAAGGTGGATAAATTACTCGAGGACTACTAGTATTCAGCTCACTGTGTTGTGTTTCACATGGGGCCAAGAAAAGTAAATATTTACACATGTTTATTACCTTCTGTTTAAAGATGTTTGATGTTACAACAGATAATGACTTCATCACTTCAAAAAAATAATTTGAAATTAAAACAATTTTTTGTTGCTATCCACTGTAGCAGCAAACAACTGTGAGCCAATTATCAGAATTTTTTATTCAATAATCTTTTAAAATTAAAAGTGCATCTTTTTTCATATTGGAAAGAAAAACTATTTCAGCAATGAAATGCTTCATGTAATATACTATATGTATATTAATTATGTTAGTTTGAAATATGGATAATGTTATGTGAAGGTCATTTTAAGGGATGTACCATTTGAATTCTAAGGTGGGTGATTCTCTGTGAGAGCTTTACCCAATTTTTTTTTCATGGTTAGTTCATGGAATAGTATTTTAATTTTATACTTAACTCCAAACAGAAATAAAATCATTGAAAATGTGATTAAATGCAGCTTGAACCTTTTTGTCTGTTTTGTTCAATGTGATTTTTGTCAATGGATTCTTTATGTGTTACATAATGTATGCGTGTTCTTTATAAGAAATTACGAGACCCCCACCACGTCATAGGTCATACATGTATCAGGACTTGTAATGCCATTAGTGTTGTTTGAGGGTGCGTGATAGTCCTATCATTGGGAT